AGCGCCTGTCCCGGCTGCGGGACCCCCGGCTCGCCCCTCCTCATCCTCAGCAGCTAAAGGCAGCTCGTTTTGAGGGGAAAAGAGAAAACACCCCCTTCTCCAGGGAGAGGTGCCGCCAGCCCGTGCGGCAGAGGGAGCAGAGGCTTTACCGCAAAGGGTTAATGCGGGGCTGCGGGGTGCTCCGGGCTGGAGTCCTGTGTGCGCCTCTGAGATGCACCAGCCAATCCTGGAGACAGCAGCGTGAACTAGATGTAGCATGCTGGAAGGAGGGAGGTGAAGAAAATAGGGTGTAAACTGTCAGCGCACACCGCGAGGCGGACCCGCTCCTTGGGCTGCGATTTCTCAGAGACTTAGAGAGCATCATGCATTTAAAAAGGTAAGGGCTTTGTTACCGACAGTCTGTCTCATGATTCACTGCCGGATTCAAGTGCGTTTTCTGTGTGGCTTTCATTTAGTGATAAATTGTGTAGCGCAGAGTGGGGAGAAAGTGGAATGTGGCATGATTTACTGCTCGGGAGCCGTTTGGAAAGGCTACGTCAGCTTCGAGTTGTAATGATTTCATGTAGAGATTGAGCAAGTGAATGCATGTGAAGTGAAGTGAATTCATGACTGGCAGAAAAATGTAATGCATGTGATAAGAGAAGGCTGTTCTGTTGTAGCAGCAAAATCAGTTATGGATCCATATGAAATGAAGGCTAGTGGGAGATAGACCTGATTTTGAGAAAATGTAGAGTAATTCAGATTCATGTATCTGACAAACAAGTCTGTCAGATAAAACCAAAAATAACTTCATTCTTAGAAAAAAACCCCCCATGTTTATTAAGTACAACATCACAAAAGAATGCTATAAAAAGGAGTGAAGTCAGAACCTTACAGAGTCTGTATGTGCAGAGATGAGTGACTCTGACACATTAAGTGTACAGAGATAAAGCTAGAGTGGCCCTGCTAACATTTACAGGATATAAGAAATAACTTCAGAGGAGCAATCCATTTAGATATCAGACTTCACAGACTGCTGCCATTGCTCAACCCCTTCCCTACAAGGAGTTACTCATTTTAAATAGGTGCTCTATCAGCTTTACCACAGGACCAGCTTTGGGAACAGAAACATTTGACTGGATCTCTTCCTCTCTGTATCTAAGCATAGCAACAGACCCTCAGTCTCAGATGCTGTTGCAGTGCTAATCAGCAGAGTTCCATCCAGAAACTACCTACAAATTCTTGCCTCCAAGCATTTCTCTCTCTAAGACGTGTATAATTTAAGCAGGGGAGGAATAAAAAAAAGATCTGTGATATTTTCTGTAAGCTGATCCACCTCCAGTGAGAGCAAACCTCCCCAACAGATGCTGAGTTCACAGGAGTTGTGTTTTGGGTGCTTGTTCATGAAATGCTGAAACCCTGTGAGTGAAAACGAGAACTAAGAAACATGAAAACAAGCAGCTGAATGTTTCTACAGAGCTCAGTGCAGGAGGCAGCATTTGTACAACAAGCCAACAAAACAACTTGAGAATATTCAAGTGATGCAATCCTCCTGTCTTATCCTTTCCTATTTTTTCTACTCCTCTCTGAATGCCTTTGTGAAGATTGAATTACAGAAATCAATTCATTGTTTACACCAACGCGTCTAAAAATTTACTTTTTAGTCACATAGATTGCAGTGACTTGTCACTCCTCTCAGTCCCAGACAATGATTTATGGGACTCAAATATTTTTACTTCATTTGTATTAATTCAAAATCATATCTGATTGGGATCAGTCTAACTAATTTCTTGCTTGAGATGCAACACCCGCTGAAAACAAAAGGAAGATCTTTCTACCAGCAAGCTTGCTTCTTCAGCAGTTTTTGAAAATCTAAATGGAAAATTGGATGATTAAAGTACTTACCTAAGTTTTCCTTAGAAGAAAAAGAGCGGTGGAAGGTATTAGGTGATAGTTTCTGGAAACATTATTTTCTGGCTCTCAGGCTTACCTAGTGCAGCTCATTCTTAATCCTCCCAAAGCTTCACCTCTCCTCAAAACCAGAAGCAGACATTTTTTTACTCTCCTGAAACACTAGCAACCTCATATGGGAGCAAAATCATCAGAAATACACTTTGACAAACAGAGCCCAAGTGCTCTTTGAGAAAGGTTGCACTGAAGCCACTATCCTGTTAGTAGACTACAGCCAGTCATTTTATGGAAAAGTAATCTAACTTCTTCCTAATCTCATCCTATATCAGTGTAAGAGAACATTTTTAAAAAGTAAATTTGCAGCTACATTCTCTTCATATCGTTGTTTTCCTTTTGCTCAGTATATGTGTGTTCAGTGAGGGCCTGATCTTGGACAATTCAAGGAGATCAGAACATCCCTGTTAACTTCAATAAAAGCAAGATCAATTTCCAAAACACTATTTTGGAACCCAAATGAACTTCAAATTTAGAAGGGGAAAAAGTGAGCATCATGAATTTTCATGCTGCGTACTGAGCAGTGGGAGGCTTTACATATCTTGAGTCAAATATTATTAAAATACTAAAAAATTAATAATTTGTGACCTGATCTTACATTGACCTAGGCCTCAGTACTTTTTCATCATTGATAAATAAACATTTTTCTGTATGAAGTTAAGGAAGCCCCACTGAGCTGCAGGTAATCAGCACCTTGTGACTGGAGTCATCACCCTGCTGAAAATTGTAGTGTGAATAAATTTGGTCTTCCAGCTTTGAAGTTACTAATTTATATGTACCACAGTTTGTGTGCATACACAAATATGGTTTATACATAGATATAAATATGCATGATATGCACTACATCCCTCCACACCCATGGTCTGTATAATCAGTTTTTGCCCTTGCTCATACCATGGGAATGATTTTTTAGCTCAGTCTCTTTCCTATCCCCCGCTGAAAGTCTTCACCTGTTCTGTGTGCCACAAAA